AGTGGTTGAGTCACCATCCCTGGAAGTATTTAAAAGACGTGTAGATGAGGCGCTTAGGGACATGGTTTAGTGGGCATGGTGGTGTTGGGTTGACAGTTGGACTCCATGATCTTGGAGGTCTCTTCCAACCTTAATGATTCTATGATTCTATGATTCTAAATATGAACAAGTGGAGCTTGTTCAGCGAGATGTATTACTATTGGTCTTGCAAAAAGCTCTGAATGAGCAAGCACAGGCAAGATGAGGAACTTGAACCTATTTAAACTGCAGGTAAATCTAGTGGTTTTACTGTACTGCCCTGTGAATCAATAATTTTCAAGGTCCTGTCTTATTTTGACCACTAACGCTCTCCAACTCTCCATATTTGCCAGACACTTCTCCACGTCTCAGAACATTTAAATTGAGAGTGTTCTAATGTGTTATGATTAACTATTTCACACTATTGTTTCCACTACTCATTGGAAGTTTGAAGGAAGTTATTTTTTATGTCCTTTGAAGCTGTTATTTTAAGCCAAGTTGACAGTGTTCATAATATTTCAAACAAGCTGACAGATCGTTCTGCTAATGTGCACTGTAAATGCACATGTACATGAACCTTAAAGAAAAACCATGCACTGACAAAATAACATACATGAGAAAATAACACAGATTTATGACAAAATGAAAAAATCCTCTGAGGCAGGTGATTATAATGGATCATGATCATGCTGAGGAAGTTTGGAGAAAGGCGAGGCAGAGCCAGAATGCATTTGGCTAAGTTCAGCGTTAGCAAGTTACCAATGTCAGTGTCATGAAGACAAAAAAAGTCTTCCTCCAGAAGTTCCAAAAGTGTTTTTACTCTCACTACATACAGCTGGGAGATTTGGAATTGGACCAACAAAACAGTGGAAGCAGAAAACTGAATGAAACACTCATGGTGTGTATTACTAGTCAGAACTAAAGAAGGGAATGATCACACACCATTTTTGCATACACCACTCCTTAGGCACAACAACAAAATTTTAAAAAAAAGCAGATACTAAGGTGCCTCTAAGTGGCTTGAAAAAAACAATTAACTCATGACCCTAACTTACAACAAACAGCTACTTCGACTTCAGCAGGGATGATAAAACATGGGATAGAAAAGATCTGGTTTCTTTCTAAACAAAAAAAAAAAATTCAAATAATTGTTTAATCACATCATTCTGGACCAAGTTCTACACTACCAAGCAGCAAACAAAAGTGATGCCACAGTGGTGATGGGGATGCCACCACACAACAGGTTGATTTTTAATTTGTTTGCCCTTTGATAGACACATCAGTAGGATTCCTGTAGGTGTAAAACTATCAAGTCATGTGTGGAGCAGAGGATAATAAACCTATAACCAGCAGTCAGACACTACGGCTACAGTGGCAAGGAAGATTTCTGCGAGCTTTGTCAAGGAGCTTCTGCCACCTTGTAAAGTGGTATGGTCTTTGTGAACCCCCAGAGGAAGAGTAGCTTCCTACCAGCACTGCAGCAGTGTGCCTGCCTCTAATGAGTGCCCCTTTTGCTCTAGGAAAGGACATTATCAGACCTTCCTTTCTATCCGGATACCCACTTCTGCCCTTGGTACTGCTGTTTTCATGACCCTTCTCCTGTGGGAAAGCAGGGGCTTTATGTTTTCACTGAAGCAAAGAGAAAATTCCCTCTCTCTGAAGTGGGCTCTGTGTTTGTGTAAAATAATAAATGGGTCTACAAAAATAAATGTGTCTAAAAATCTTCACAGACACCAGGATAACAGGCACTATGGGTAGTATGCAGTGTGAGCTATAATATCCGGTAGGAACACCTTCCTGGATTTAGTTTGTGTTGTTACCATCATATGCAGGAACAGCGGTATAAGCATTCAACAGCAGGGTTGAAATGTCATTTATATTTTTGCTTAAACGCAAAATTAATTCAGACAGTCAAAACAGGCCTTTATCGGATCAGCTCTGGCATGACAGTACAGTCAACTAAGTTACAGTTAACTTTGAACACGTTCCTGAATCTGTCCTTCTTACTGCTGCATATGTGCCAAATCCATAGTCTAAAATAATGATGCCAGAATCATCCCTAACTGATCGAGTGTAAGAAATTATAGCAACTATTTTCTGCTTTCAAACACTAGTGATTTTTGTTACAGACTCAGTAAAGCCTTCTCAAGTTAAACACAAATGCTGTCTTAATTTTGACTTGAAACAGAGCTGTACTGTAGTACAGCAAAATCTGTGTATACAGCTCTACACTTGTTTCAACAAAGTCAAATGTTATTTGCTGGATGGGAATTAAAAAATTTCTTCTTCAAAAATCAGAAGTTACTATTTCTACTATATATTTCTTCAAGCAGGTTAACCCTCACCTCTTGATTCTCCACAGCTTTACCTATTTTCCTGTGTCACCTACAATTTGTACTCCCAATACCACACCACTTTGTCATGACTTAACATTTTCTTGTTCGCCTTTGCAAGCATCTCTGCATCCTGTCAGGCCAGTAATGCTTTCATCATTCCAGTGCAGGAGTCAATCCCATCCTCCTCTTTCTAAATCCTACTTTGAACACAAGTTCCTTTTTAATTTTTTTTCTTATCCCTCCCCCATCCCCCACATGTAAGATGAAGGCTTTTTCTTTTTTTAATTATTTCATCAAGATGCCTTTTGAAACGCCTGATTTTAACTACACACAGAGATTTCCAGAGGGTACCAGCAGTTTTAGATAAGAATGCCACTAAAAAAAACAATTGACAGTGCTCCTTTACACAAAAATCTTGCACATTTCTTAATGACATCAACAAAAAGCAAAGACAAAAATTCTTTAGGTTTTAAAAATACAAATCCAAGGACACTACCAACTTCATTTCCACTAGGAAATCACTTTAGTCTTGCATGGTTATACAGGGGTCACCAGTTGGAAATTGCACAAGATGCACAGGATATACCTTTAAATTATTCATAATCAGCTTAAACTGCACTCAATCAGCATTGCAATATGTCATCTTATAGACACACAAAAGTTCAAAAGGAAAAGCACATGAAAAAGCAGACTACCAAGAGCACTATTGTTCAAACTACACCAGAAAGCTTAATATTTCAATACTGTGTATGTTAAAATAAACAACATACACAGGTGATGAAAGCCAGTCTCTGAAAAATTTATTATTCTGTTAGAACAAGTTTAAACTTAGGATGAATTCTCAAGCTTCATGCCATTAGAAAGTTTTACTGGGTTTATAGTGGATATTAAAACAGAAATAAAAATAGATGACAATCCCAAAATACAGGCTGTACTTTGAATATGATCAACAGGCTTTCTCTTCATTTTACACCTATACATTTCCTCTTGCCTCCAGCAATCAAATTTTATTCAATCTTCATGAAAAGTTTCCTAAATTGCCTGTTTTCCTTTCAAAAATCAAATGTTTTCAAAGATGAAGTTGAACAGACTAATGTAACTTTTATTGTTCAGTAATACTTGTTCAGTATTATTTCTCCAAAGTCATCCTGTTGGAATTGTACAGCTTTCAAAGGTTTATGATGTCAGTTTGATTCAAAGGATCCTGCCCCCCCACCCCATTTCCTCTGTATTCTTACTTTGGCTTCCAAAAATTTTACCCTAATCTCATTTTCTCCTCCTATGCATGCCATAAGTACCTTACTGCATTGAAGTGAAAGGGACGGGGCATCAATTCTCTGGGTAAGATGGGCATAAAGGAGATACGGATGATTATTAGGATGATTAATTTTAAAAGCAGTAAAGCTTTGCCTGGTGAATTTGCACTTGATATTGCAAAATTAAACTCTTGGAACTGGACTGGTTTGTAAACTATACTAGACAAAGCAACAGGGAGCACCGATTGCTCTAAGCTCGAATTATAAAGCAGCAGCAAGAATTGTACATATTCTTTGTCACTTAGATTCATAACTACAGGCAATTCAATTTTAACTTCAATATGAACAGAAGAAATACAGAATATATTTCGTAATTTTAAAGAATTTGAAATCGTTCCTATTCTGACTCTTTCTGACCACACTGCATTTACACAAATTGTTCAGATTTGCCTCAGTGTTAATTTTTACACTTTGGACAATGTAACAACATTTGGCATTTAATGTGCAGCCTTTATCATCCTCACCCACTTGGATTCTACTCTCTTCTGCCTATTATCTTGATGAATAACTGATTTCAGTATGAAATTTTATGAGTTACTGCTTAATGCATTCAGATCTCAAATAAAATATGGAAGTATACATTTTAATTACATAAGAACCAACAAGAAATTACAGCTTTTTTCACAAGCATCGCATCTCAAATGAATAATTTTCTAAATATAGGTATGTGGCCAACTGTTTTTTCTTTTTTTTTTAAAAACAGACTGCAAAGAGTTTCCTCAGTGTTTTGAACTGAGTAGCAGCACACTGAATGATCAGTTGTAGAGAGGCAGAAGAAATATTAAATTTTGCCTATGAGTTATTTGGGGGGTGGGGGGGTAAAATGTAAGTATAAAAGTACCAAAATTTATTTCATCAGCTTCAACATTCAGCACTTGATATATTAGAAGCGTGTATTGTTATCAAATACTTGACTTACGCTCATATTCCTATCCCAGATCTGGATGGAGCCATCTTGACAGCCAGCTGCGATAAGTTTACCATCTCTGCTGTATGTGCAAGTTGTAGGAATCACCCGTTTACCTTGAACTGATCGTGGTTTAAATACGCTTTTGTGCTTTTTTTCATTGTTAACATCCCATGTCCTCACAGTTCTGGAAAAAGTTTTAAATAAAGAGTTGTTTTAGATAAAGTTAATACATATGAAATAATTTTTCTTATGATATAGTCAAACACCATTTTCAGCATAAATGGCATATAATATTGTTCAAATAAAGTTGCAATGGCAAAATAGCATTTAAGATATGGTATGGGAGTCATGAAACTAATGTGACAACTTTCCAAGAAAGAAACACCATATTCACTAACATGGACGTGAAGGTTAAAAAAAAAGTAAAAAAAAAAATCAGTTCTTCCCAAACTCTCGTGTAAATACAAATATTTATAACTGGACAAACAACCAAAGGTTAATATGCAGGTACTACATAGTCTCCACTGTCACTGGAAATCAGGAAGATGAAAGTATTCGGTCCTTTACAAGAATGAAGACTTCGGGAAACAGGCATGAATGCTTATACAAATTCATTAACTAAACAGATTGTCTTAATTGTTCTGACATGACAACAACTGACAAACCTGCTTTTAACTGGCAGTATTGCAGACTGGCTGGTTATTCTTCAGAATTTTTTTATTTTAAAAAGGCATTTTGAACAATTAATTGTAATATTATTATAGTTCTCTTCCACTAATCCTGAAGGTCTGAGAGTTCTGTTGTAAAAGTGTTCTTCAAATACTTTACAAAGACTCATTTATGTAATATTGTTTTTTCAAGTTAAGTTTTTCCCCCGATTATTAGCAAAATAAATACAACCTTTTTCTTTTTAATGGAAAAAGAATATCTGCCTGGATCTTCAACGTTTCTTAGATACACAAGAACATCCAAATGAGAAAGAACTAAAACACAGATACAGGTGGACTCTTTAAACTGTCTTAGGTACAAATGTTTTCTGTCCATTTAATATGTTGAGTTATTTCCAGATAAAAATTCAAAACTCTTCTGGTATCTAAAGCAGAGAAGAGTTTCAGGATTTGGCAAAGGAAGGAAGATCATTAATTTAGAAATAAAAAAAATCACTAAGTTCTCAAGACAACCTCATTTGTTTAGACTATACAAACATTGCCCATGATCCAACCGCACGTAATTCACTGATCTGTAGCAAAGCAAACACCACTTTAACAAAGGCTGCCATTTCTCCAGAACAAGACAAGACACCACAACATAACATTAGGAACTTCCATCAGAGCTACAAGACCATACAGGCTACAGAGCTGACATATATATAATTCTAGAATAAAACAGACAAGAAAATGAGCTGGAAATAGCTCACAGAAGTTATACTTAATCACACATTTAATGACAGTAATGAGAAATCAGTAACTGAAGTAGAATGAATCTCCAATTGTCCATAATGAAGTCAGGATTAGTCTTATTTTTAGAAGTCTTCAAATTTCCTATCTGTAAGGCGTCATTTCATTGCTCTATTTGGAGCTCTAGCATAAGACATTGAAGTGTTCCGATTGTTGGTTTTGTCTTGTTTTGTTTTTTCATTTTAAATGAAACATTAGATTATGATGCATTTTCTAGAGTCACTTAAACAAACCCATGCTGCTACATGGAACAACAGGTTGCCCAGCAAGGTTATGGAGTTGCCATTCTTGGAGTTACTCAAAACCCGTCTGGACGTGGCCATGTGCTAGGTGCCTAGGTGATCCTTCTTTGAACAGGATGGTTGGATTAGAGGATCTTCAGAGGTGACTTCCATCCTCAACCATTATGTGATTCTGAGATTCCCCTTTTCCTCTCCATGTGTTGCCAATAACCATCTCAGTCTCCTACCTTTCAACAGGCACACTGACACTTTCACCCATCCTGATATTTATTCAAAACTTGAGTCTTTTTCCAGTCCCTTTCCCTCATAATACTCAATCCTTCCAGAATCTCATTTGAATATCCTGTACCTCCAGCTTCTCTTCCTCCTCTTGTGATGACCATCTCCTGCTGGAAAGCTACTTCTTCTCTTATAGTGCAAGTCTCCCAAGACTGCCTTGGCATACCCACTTCTCAGATGGTATACCCTAGTAACATGGTTATGTGCAGGGAAGTTTAAAGCCTGCCTCCCGCTATTTGCCTTTTTATCTAAGATGCCTCACACGCATCTCAGCTGCAATTCCAAAAACAATCTCTGAGAATCCTTCACCACCCCAATTCTTCATTTCTGCTGGCACAGGAGGACTTTTTTAAAGGCTTCAGTCTCCTCTTTTTAGGGCTCCATGTCCTGTCAAAACCTCAGTCGCTTCACAACAATATAGAGCATATTCAAACCTTATTATTCATTTTACCTTTCAACTGTAAAGAAAGAAGTAACACTTGTATAGTTCTATCTCTAATAACACAGATTAAAAAAAAGTGAGCCCTAATCAACTGTAATATCAGCAAGTCAGATGAAAAATCCAAATTTCCTGAGCTGCTGCTTCTGCTGCAGACAGTTGGCCACACTCCCTCACATGAGTTACATGCCCTGTTAAAAATGCCCACATAGTATGTGTTTAATGTCCCCGCAATGTTTCCTTAATGTCCCCACACTGAATGTGTGTTTACCGTTGCCTTGCTGCTATTGGATCTAACTATAAAACTTTTCTACTAAATTAAAATAAATATTTTATAAGAAATCATCTGTATATTACTTACAAATTGATCAACCATTCCCAGAGAGCTCTTACCTTGAGCTAAGACTGAGCTCTTTAATCTCTTCTTTCACGTCAGATCTTTTAAATATTTTTATGCTTTATGGAAACATTTTCATTTTTTATTAAAAAATGGACATTGTATTGCAAACACATCTTATAATACCATGGACAACATTTCAGCTTACCACATGAATCAATCGGCCCACGGTTTCTGACTGAATCACCACCAACCAAAACATCAGGAGTCATCTATAAACTATATATGTTTTATATTTTTCTTCAGGCCAGTGATGAACTAGAAACATAGGGGATCACTGAAAGACCTGAGAGAGATACTTTCACTACCCCATTCTAAGGCCCTAATCACACAGTCTGAGTATGACAGACTAATTTGTTCTGACATTCCCCTTTTACCCTCCATGCTCCCTCAATAACTATCTGAGCATCCTGTCTCTTCTTTCAGCAGGCACTTTGATCCTTGTCCCCTGTCTACTGTTTACGCTTGAAACTTACTTGAAGCCTTTCTCAAGTCCCTTTCCCTCATAACACCTAATACTTCTTACTGTTTAACTCCTCTCATTCTAGCCAGAAGGAAGGGGGATAAACAAGAAAGGACGCACAGAAACCCAAATAATTTACCTTCAGGAATGTGTCTTTAAACTGGCAATATGGCTAACTAACACTGCTTCTGTATTTTCTCTCCCCTTCTGCTACTGACCCTCAGTCACCATACCATATCACAGACAACTCAGAGAGCACAATTTGGAATTGTGTCTCTGGTTTTTTACAGAGTATTTTGTACCATTTAATGATTCTTCCTCATCCAACATAACGAAAAAATAACTGAGATTGCATTACAGAAGTCCCATTTTTACTTCCTAACCTACTCTGGGTCCAATCTAATGTTGTGTGTGTTGAAACGAATAAAACATTTTACACACACACCCCCCCGCATCAATCAGATCAGTTCCAGGAGACTCATTTTTGTCAAAAAAGCCTCTTACTAAGAGTATCTCCCCAGGCCTAAATAAATGTGGGATGAAAGAATAACATTGTTTTATGCTCTATGTTGCGTAATTTAGCAGAAGTATAATACTAATATTTATCTGTTGACAGGTATAACCAAGATATTTTCAAACTCCACTGAAAACAAAAGGAAAACATTTCCTGATAGTCTTTTTTCCACCTGAAAACAAACATGTTTAATGAAAGTTTGTTCTTTAGTAAAAACAATGTATAGGGATTTTTTTTTAAACTATCCCTCCAACATACAACGTCGTTCTTTCATCATGTCAAATTTTAATAATACTGAATGATACACACAGCCACATAAATATTTTAAATTTTGCTTTCATCAATTTCCTTTCTAAGAAAACTTCCATGAAAAAGGCTCCACATACACAAGTTAAATTTAAACTTTTTAAATGTCGGATTCCACATCTGCGAAACAGATTTTGTGAAGTTCTGATATTTGCCAGGAGCAATTCAAAGCAACTTAGAAAAGAAAGGGAATGTTCTTTTGGAAAGGTAACGTGGATGTTTTCCTGACCACTGAGAAGTTAAATGACCCATAATAAACAACTAATTTAATTACTGAGGTTCAGGGGTGGGGTTTTTTTTTGTTTTTCCCCCCACAAATGTTTCCCCCCCCCTTTTTTCTAATGTTCTTAGTAATAAGTCAAAATTTCTAATAAAATTAATTATTGACAATGCTGCTGTATTACGAAAATTATTAAAGGTATTTATGTAGCTGTATTTCCCAGCCTGCAAGCATGGAAAATTTCTCTAAGTCCTGATTCAGCATGCCACTGCTTATTCTAATACTATCTTAATACAAACTGCTAAAATTCAAGGAGTGAACCAATCCAAATATTAAAAGCCTGACCTGTCACATTCCACTAAGCTTCTCTGCCTGTCCCATCTCCTCTGTTTCTGCTGGACTGCAAAACTCTTGCACAATACTGAATGTTATTTGCATTTAATATACTATAAATATATTAAATCTATTCTTAATAATTAAGTCTATTCTTATCACACAAAATACAAAAAAAGCAACAGAATACATTACTGCTAAAAATACAGATCAGGCTTAATGTTGTACATCTAGTAACTATATTATAATGCTTATCTTTGTAATGTATTATAATGCCTAACTTTGTAACATAAGGTTGCCCAAAAAGGCTACCTTGGAAAACTATAACATACTTTAAAATCATCATACAAATACTGCTGCAATGGAATTTATCGGCAGAGCACTGAATTCCATGTCATCTTATCAGTGATAGAAAACACATTTTTAAAAGTGTTAAATTAAGCCTTTTTATAAAGAATTAACTGATCTTAAAGCCAGATTTTTTCATCTTTTTTATGACATAAAACAACCTTACCTACACAGGAAAGAAGTTAA